TTTCTCCTCACCTCCTTCCCAAGGCAGAGCTGACATGCTGACCTCGAAGCAGCATCAGCCCAGACTCATGCAAGATGATGAGTCCTCAGCAGAGCTGTGCAAGATTCAACCACCTGGAACAGCTTCCCTGCCTGGGCAATGAGCACAGGCACTAACAAATCCTCCAGGGTCCTCTCTTTTACTTGCATACGTGAATTTCCAGGCCTGCAGTAAGTCTTAGCAGCTCAGCCTTTAACTAACATGAACTTAAAATAGATCGAAGCCTTCTAACCTGGCTGCAGGGCTCAGCACAGCGCACACGGTGGGGGTTTGCACCTTCAAGGGTAAAATGTTGTGAGCAGGCAGCTTTGTCAAGGGGTAGGAGGGAGAAAAAACACTGGCACCAAGGGTTTGAGGGGCCTGTGTTGTTCTTAGTTGCAGGAGGGTCTATAGGTCTCAGGTGCCTCCAAATTGTTGCAACCTTCTAGAGCATGATTCCTCCTCAAGCATTAGCAAAACTAGTTCAACAGGGCTTCAGAGACGCTGGCAGCTATACTGCATGTAAGTTGGCCTTGAATTGATTCGAAGGACCAAATAATGCCTGACAGGGAGGAACAATCACAGCTATTTCCCTCTCCATCCCCACACAAACTCATTCTCAATTTCATGGAGTTAATATATGCTTTTTGACAAGGGCAGCAGCCAACCCTGCACTCACCTATTCACAGACCAGCGGGAACTAAATAGAGTCTTTTAGGAGCTCCTCCTTCAGCATGGCAACACCAGTTTGTCCAAAGCAGAAGCTTCTCACAGGAACACATCACTAAAAGTCTCTCATTTCAAGGGGAATTTGGGTTGAAATCACCAAACACCAAGCAGCCTGCAAGTTTGGAAGAAGGAACAGACTAAGGGTTAAAATTGCACACCTTAAATTCTAGACCTGTTTCTCTTTAAAGGGGAAGGTTTTGTTTCTAATCTTGATACAGAAGGACTATTTTGAGCCTTCAGAAAGCCTATTAGGTGAGGGTGAGTGTGCTAAGAATCCCATTAAGAGCCAGGCCAAGCAGGCTTGCTGTGCATACCCCCCAGAACAATCTGTGCTGGAAATGTTTGAAATGTGGAGTAAACTCACTCTCGGAGGCAAATGTCCGTGTCTGACATCTATCACCATCTATTTCCTACACCAAGATTATCAAGCTCAGCTGTAGCCAACCAGGCAGTTGGGGTTTAGAGCAGTTACCCCACATCAAAGACAGCTTATAGTTCAGAACACTGAGTTCATGAGAATGAGGTAACAAATGCAAAGCCTTCTGAAGTAAAAGTAATGATAATAATCTTTGCCAAGGATCAGAGAAGCTGAAGAGACACAGATCAAGATACCCAGTGTGACAGGAGACTACTGCTAATTCTAGCACCTAAAGAGAACCCCAGTGTACCATGGCTGTTTCTGCCTGCAACGCATTGCACACACTTGAGAGGGCTGCCTCATTTGTGTCAAAATGATTCTATTTAAAATCTGATACGAGCTCAACTGAACACATGCCTAAAGAGAATATGAAATGCTTTCCTGCTGCAATTTCAATAATTGAAGACCCTTCATTTAAACAGTGGTCGCGAGCAGAGATCAAACCCAAATTGCAGCCTCTGCAAATGAAGATGTCAAGAAGTCAAACATTTAACAACAAGTGAGTGGGACAGGCCCTTTTGCAAAGTTGAATGCCAAGACAGCTTAAATAGTCCATTTAGGTTAGAAATCTGGAGAAACAGCTCAATCGCTGCAGCCTCCCTGGTATCTGATTGCACTGAGGGAAGATACTTTGACAAGAGCTTACACGTACAACACTGAACGAATTCTTCAGGCTCTGGCTGGCTCTCAAAACAGAAGTGCCAAGTGACAGATTGCCACAGGCACAGTTTCCTGTGACCTAACAGCATTACAGAATCACTGGCTTCACCGCACAGATCACTTGGCTGAAATGTCATTAAACAGAGAACAAAAGGCAAAACACGTAAAACTTGAGTTTTCTCCCTTGGTGGAAGGCAGATACAACGCCAAATGGAAGCAGAAGTTGTTGAAGTCAAAGCTAGGAGTGTAAGCAATGAAGTCAAACCTTTTGGAAGAGAAAGCTTTGTGAAATCAAGTCATCAACACAACTGAGGTTGTAACTGCACACATTTGAAACAGGCAAATAGCCATGTTTTCGTGACGCTGTAATACTCCCTCTGCAACTACGTGTAATAGTAGAGGAAAACATTTCTGTGATAGTTCTTCAGTTAGCAAAACTGGGATTGACGAAGTCTCTCCTGGAAAGGCAATCCTGAACACCACAGCGTTAGGAAGACAGGCAGTAACTGCTGAAGTAAAGCCCATATTTACACAGTAATTGCTGAACATCCACGGCACACATCACATCTGACGCTGCTCAAAGCAGAACGCTGGCATGCTGCACCAAACCAGGGCTCTGTACCGAGCTTTCACTGCGTGAGCAGAAATAGATGCTTTGGCTGAATCACTGCTGCAGAGAGAGGGATTTCCCATCCCTGCTATCGTGCAGTGTTCCAAAATCATCACACCATCGATTTTCACCACCAGTCACACTCAAGGCTTTTGCTATAATGCCATGATACACACAAAGGTACCTGTCAGTGGCTGCTGGCACCCACGTTTCTGTGCCACCACACTGCCCCACTGAAGAATTCAGCATGAAGAGGTACCATTAATTTAAGACTTCAATTTGTGATAGAAGCCTGCTTAAAACACACACACATCGCTCAGTGCTCTCTAACTCACTGGCAGGAAAACCAGGGAGTGCTTCTGCGGGTT